GCTAAATCCCCAGGCCCTTAAAATCTTTTTTCATCAAGTATATATACCTTACAAAGAAAATTATGTAATTAAAGTAAAAGGCCAAGGAGCTCGCTCATTTCCTGTTTGCAAGAGAAAGTTAATCAAGAAGAGAGGGAATTTCTGGTGGACACAGCCATAACCCCAATTACTTGGCACCCACCCCTCCAGTGACCTGACTCCTAACTTGGAAGGCTGAGGCAGGAGTCTCAAAGTTCAAGGCCAGTTTGGGCAGTTTAGCAAGATAGCAAGACGGGCAGAGACAGGGACACAGAGACAGATAGATAATGAATGAGAGGATGAAATTATTCCCCCCCCGTTCTAACCAGCTGCAGTGTCACACATCTGTAAGTCTCAGCTACTTGAGAAGCTGATGTGGGAGGATCACTTGAGCCTTGAGCCCTGTAGTTCAAGACCAGCCTGGACAGCAAAGCCAGACACTGTCTAAAAAAAAAAAAAGATTCTATTCTCATTTTGGCTTTACAAAACCACTAAAGAATTTCTCTACTAGTGATCACCTGTTCCTAGATGTAGGAGTTCATAGGAGTTCACAGAATGATAGTTTCCAGAGAACACAGCAAAACAGAAACATAGGGAACTTGGTTAAGTTTTAAACTTCGTGTTGCTAAAACCACCACCCAGAGAAAGGGTATTTTATTACAGAAAGGGAGGAAGAAGAGAAGGTAGGAAGGAAGGAGAAAATGGGGGAAGAGGAAAAGGAGACATCTTGGACTGAGTCCTGTGGTGTTAGCTTTCCATCACTGCAATAACACACCTAAGATAAGCAACTTTTAGGAGGAAAAGTCTGTTTTAGCTCATAGCTGCAGAGGTGTCAGCCCATGGTTGCTTGGCACTGTTGCTTTGAGCCTGTTGTGATACAGACCATCATAGCAGGCGCACATGGCAAAAGAGGCCTGTTATGTGTCACGGCAGCCAGGAAGAAAGAAAAAGTAAGCATGGGGTCCCAGTATCCTCTTCAAGGTCACTCCCCCATGACCTCACTTCTTTGCACTAAACCCCGCCTCCTGAGGTCCCCTCAGCCCCCACAGTCGGAAGTCCAAGCCTTCAGCACGCCAGCCTTTGAGGACACTCAAGATCCAAAGCATAACACTAGTCAGGTAAATAAATCAGTTTTGGTTGGTTGGTGTAGGTTTTTGTTTATTTGTTTTTAATGTTTTACTATCAACTGGCAAACATTTTACTGGAGCCCACCAGCTGGGAAACAACACAGCTACCCCAAGCTACATGGCAAATACAGAAGCTTAGGTAGTATGCGCCCCGTGAAGTAATTCCAAAAGTGCATAAGCCTCTGAACCCCATGCAAAGAAAAAAAAAAAAAAAAAAACAGTGTTAGGTTGCTGTAATTCACTTAGATTTTAGCTTCAGGGGAAGAGACAATTCGAACATAAATATTCAATGCAGCCTTCTCATTTTAACTTTCATAGACTTAAGTCAATTGGAGATTGAATTCATTTAGTTTTTACATCAATTAACACCAGTATAATCTTACATGAAATAAAAGCCCGTGTTTCTTAAACCAAACTGTCATGCACTATTAAAAGTGGGACATTATTACTTGATCATAAAATTTTAGTTGTCCATAAAACTGAAAACTGTATGCCTTAAGGATAAAAGATGTTTTCACTCAACAGCTTGCCTGCCAAAACACAGAATTTCTTTGCTGTTTTCAGAAAGGGCACCTGAGCACCAAAGGAGTTGCAAGATGGACCAGGAGAGTGAATTCTCATTGTGATGTCCACACGTGTTTTATTTGGATTACTGCTTCTCAATTTACAGTGATGGTAGAATCAGCACACACTCCCACACACACACCCTCACATTCCAAGGCTGGTAACAAGCTGAAGTAAAAATCCAATAGACCAGATTTTCATTAATGACACTCAAGGCCTTACCGAGCTAGCTACTATACATCCATAATTGTAAAAACACTCTTAAAAGACCATAAAAACCCATTTTTAAGATGAGTTCTTATTCAACAACACTGTGCCTACCTGGCAAGTGCAAGGTCATGAATTTGATTCCCGAAACCAAAAAAAAAAAAAAAAAAAAAGATTACAGACTTATTTTTATTACTGAGAGGGACAGATTTTAATTTCCAAAATCAGATTTCTTGGCATTTCTTGTAACCATAGCATATACTTTCAATTCAGAAAATTGAAACACTTTTATTCCATTCTTGTTGCTGCCACTGAGAAAGCTCTCACAAATCATAAATTTTACAGTAAGTAACCGAAGGTTGAATAATGTACAAGGTCTTTGAAATCAAACAGTGATAGAAACAGTAATAGAAATAGTGCGATATCAATTCAGTGCTTTTCAAAAGTAAACTTATTGGAAGAAGTGTTTCTTGGCTTAGAAGTATTTCTTGGATGAAGGGATATTGAAAAAGTATGTACTAAAAATTGGAATGCAACATCAGAATTGTAGATATTGGTACTTGGAAGAATGTTATATAAATTAAATATTCATGATCATAGGTAGAATAGAAGTTATCAAGGAGGCACTATAAAAGAATCATTATTACTTTATGAAAAGTTTCAAAAATGCAAGAAGCAGAAAAAGATGTAAAGAATTCCCAAACTCTGTCATCCAGGTTTCGTTTTCAAGATCTGCCACTCTTGCGTCATTTGCCTTTTTCCTTTGTTAAGTCATTTAAAAGTAATTTACAACTTGTCATACTGCCTTTGTTCAGTGTGTGTCTCTAAGAAATAACCCTAGTGACATCATATCAATCAAAATTAAAGATAAATCTTTAGAGGGAGCATCTATACATAGTCCATAAATCAAACTTACAAGATTGAATTACAAATACCTTTTTTATATTTGAATTGTTCTGATAAGGATTCTAGCAAGGCCCAGTCATTAAAAATGGTGAGTAATCTCTGCAGACTCCTTATAAACACTGAACATTTTAACTTGGTATATCTGTCACCATGAGGCAATGTCACTCCATTGCTATTAGCAAAAGTATGTTTCAGGTTCCTTGGTTTTATCCAGCATTCTCTTTCTGTTCCAGAGTGCCATCTAAGATTCCTTAACACATTGGGTGTTGTGACTTCTTGGGCTCTTCTTTCCTATAGCTGTTTCTCAAATTTCCTTTGTTTTTAATGACCTTGACACTTTGAAGATTTCTGGTGATGTGTTTTGTAAACCACCCCTCATTTGAGATTTTTCTGATACTTTATTCTCATTCAGCTGAGGTTATTGATTTTTGGGAGGAAGGCCACATAGGTAAAGTGCCATTCTCAACATATCAAACACATAGTACTAACATGACATCATTGCTGATAATAACCTTGATCCCCACTTGAGGAAGCATTTGTCAAGTTTCTCTTTTGTTACCCTTTGTTTTTCTCCACCATGCTATTCTTTCTGGAAAGGAGTTATATAATACACTTAAGGAATGTGGAAGATACATTAGTACGCTTGTGGATATTTGTTATACTTTGTTCCTCAAATTGTTCTAGGTTTAGCCACTTGGAGCTCTTTTTGTTGGCATTCAGGTTCTTTGACATATCTCCATCCCTCTCTTTTTAAAAAAGCATTTCCTTATTTTCTGAAACTGCAAGGTATTCCAAGCTCAAAAATCCATGCCCTAACTGTAGGACCATTCATTTCACCAGAAAGCTCTGGTTCCTGTTAATGGAGGATGTATTCAAAACCAAAGTCTGAGCTCCAGGTATGCTTGTTGCTACTGTGTCATCGGTGCTAGGCCGGCTGGGCTGACAGCAATGAACTGTATGTGTAGAGGATCACCATAAACTTGGTGGTAAAGCAACAGGCATTTACATAGGGCTAGAGGTCGGGAATACGAAATCAAGAGGTAAGAAACATGGGTGGGGAAAAACATGGAAGGAAAAGAAAACGGGAGTACAAGAGGGATGAAGGATGTGACAAAAGGTTCTAGCAGAACGTGAGTCCCAGGAAGGGAGGGAAGAAAGTGGAACAGAAGCAATCACGGGAAAAGTAGTCAGCAGCAGCATTACCAGTGTGACGGAAGACGTCAACCCACAGGTTCCCAGAGCTCGTCAGCTCAGGAATCTCAAATAGAGCAAATGCAAATAAAATAAAATCCAAGCACACCAACCAGTGGACTGAAAACCAAAGATGAGAAAGTGATAAAAGCTATCAGAGGAAAAAACCACACAGATTATAGAGTGATGTGCAATGACATTTTTAAAGTGCTGAGAAATAACCCCGCTGACTAAGAATTCTAATTCTAGCTGAGATAATGTAACAGAGCCAGTTCAGCTTCCTGCCTGAAGTGAATAATGTAGACAAAATACATGGAACAGTGATTTTTCTGGCCTTGGACATGAGGCAGCACACAAGGGTGACCCCTGAAAAGAGGGCCTCAAGCAAGTAGAGCCCTAGAATATCCTAGCTTCATGCCTAATATGTGGTACAGATCAGCATGAGATGAACTATGGTCATCTGAATGTCAATGTACCAAAAAGCTTAAAAAGAGGAGTATCAATAGAATGTGCACCCACTTGTGCTGGAGCTGGTCTGGTCTCATCATTTTCAAAGCAGACCATTGTTTTCAAAGCCAAGAATCAGCAATGTTACTATCAGAGGAAACTATTATTAAGTATAGAATGCACAATTTAGGTCACAAGAGGCGACCTTTACTAATGATGGAAATTCTTTAGCATTGAATTTATTGCCTTAGGAAAAAATTTATAACTCCTTTTGTGTCTCTGAAAATTCTAGGCTTATATTTTGTGATGATTTTTATTCATTTGCAAAGCTCGAGAGGAAACCCAGGGCCTCTCACATGGTCCCCATGCACCCTAAAATTAAGCTAAACTTCAGGCCATGACAATGTGTTAAGAACATTCCTGTCCAAAGGCAGGTGAGATAGATTGTACAGCCTCTCAACGTTTCTCCTAAACCTTAAAATCCTGTAATGTGATAGTTTCAAGATCTCATGTGTGTTCTCCTTAATTGCCTTTCTCAAGGTGGATGATATCAGTGAAGCTGTGATGGATTTGAAAAAAAAGAAGATCCGTACCCTAAGTGAAGAAGCCAAAATAGGAGCCCATGGGAAGCCAGTGGTTTTTCTGCATCCTAAAGACTGTGGCGGAGTCCTTATAGAACTGGAGCAAGCTTGATTTATATTTGCAAGAAACTAAATCAATTGACTGGGAAAACTGTGATCGAACACTATTACAATGTATTGTGGTACTGCTCCTATCACTTAAAAATTCAAAGTTAAATGTTAAATTACAGAAATATAAAATATCTCCAATTATGTGCCCTTTGAGAACAGCTCATGATCACAGGTAGAAGTAAAATCTTTGAGGTGTTAGATGCATAGAAAGTTTTGTGGAAAATTTGATATAGGACCTGGGGATGGGCATATACTGAATTATTTCTATTGCTTGGTGTAATTTGTAAAGTCACTGTCACTTAGGTACGTGAGCACCTCAGTGCCTCCTGGAGAATACGCAAATCCAATAGTTTCTCACTACCAAGAAGTGTGTGGTGCAGTTGGGGAAAGAGCCATGTAAAATAAGTATAAATACTCACAAAACAGCATGTGAATGAATTAAAAAGAAAGGAATATGGCACATATTCTCAAAGGAGTGTGGAAGCTCCTCAGATTTTTTCCTCTGATTCTAAAATATATTGGGAATAAATAGATTAATTACCCTGTCACTGACTATGCTGGTTTGCCAGCCCCCACCTCAGATTTCGTATTCCTTTAATAAATGGGCCACAAAAAGTCAGAAACCTCCCCAGAGCCTCGTGCTTAAACCCTCAGCACCAGGCTCCCTCAGGGCACCATCTTCCTCCTGGCTGCTTCCACCAGACAGTCTACTTTCAATTCTCAATAAATCTTTGATCTTGCTGCTCTTTTTGGCTGTTCTGCTTATTATTTGTTCAGGGCATCAAAAATCTGGGCACGAGCCCCCAATCCAATAGCAATATCTAAGGTAATACATGTAGATATACGTAAAACAGTGGAAAATACGCCAGGTCATCCTAACTGAGGCCAACTAAAAATTAACAATACAGGAAAATCTCCAAAAGCTTGTAATTACCAAAGAAAAAGTCTCAAAGAATAAAAAATGTATTGAGCTGACTAAAAATACAACCATTTTTATAAAATTCAGCAACTTATGAATTCATGAAATGATAATAAAATTCTACTTGCATGAGCATGGAGTTTAGAAGCAATATATGCAAAACAGAATGTGTAGTGGGTCATGTTAACCTCCTTGCGTTCATCCGGCTTCTCTTCCTCCGTAAGATTCTGACTTTTACGCATCACTTCATCTCCCCCTGCACAGGTGAGGCCCCAAGGCTGGACTTCAGTTTCATCACCCTTGCCAGGGACTAGGTCCAGGTAGTATACCCTGTACCTAGACAGTACCCTGAAGAAAGGTTTGTGAGAAGCTTCTGGAAATGTTCTTTCCTACTCCCAAGGTGGGTCGGTAACAGCTATGAGAACTCAGCCTCTAGAAACAGTTGAGGTTGCTATGAGCAACAACCCAATGACCAGAATAACACTGGTCAACAAAGAAAAAATTGTCTTGTTGGCATTTTTAAAAAATCCAAAGAGCAAGCATGACTGGTGCCAGCACTCTGGGAAGCTGAGGCAGGAGATCTCGAGTAGAGCCTAGTGTGGGCAACTTAATGACATCTTAAGACCCTGTCTCGAGAAACAAAGCAAAACAAACAAACCAACAAAACATGAAAAAGAGCTGGAAATATAGCTCAGTGCGGAGGCTTAGTCCCCAGTGCTGAAGACAAAAACACATTTGGCATTGAAAAGAAAGTTGTTTTATTCACTGAATTTTTAAAGTTAAAAGACTATTTTTGCTAAAACATCACTAAAAATAAAAATAGCATATGCATACTATTTAAAGGCTTGATGTGGATTATTTGGACATTAAAAACAAAACAAGCAAAGTACACTTTAATCACCGCCTTACCCTTGTTATACTTCATCACTGCATTTTTCTGAAACTCACTTTCAATATGGTCATACAGTTTTTAATAAAACTTTATATATATTGACTGATTGATTCTTCTCTGTACACCATTTTTTTCTTATGAATGGACTTTCTTTTCTATAGCAGTTTTAGGTTTGCAGCAAAATTGAGCAGAAGAACAGAGAGCTTGTGTACCCCACTTCCTGACACGCACAGCTCTGCCTCTTCCACCTAAGAGCGTGCACTTCTGAATGGCCCTACAGCAACCCATCATCACCAAAGCAGTCTCCGTTAGGGTTCACTCGGTAGTATATGTCATGGATTTGGACAAATTGTGTGTGTGTGTGTATGTGTGTGTGCGCGCGCGCGTGTGTGTGTATTCACCATTATTGTATCACACGAATAGTTGCTCTGGGTAAAATTCTCTATCCTCCCCTACCACACACGAACCCTGTAGGCCACTGATCTTTTTGGTGGCTTTGGGGCTTTGCGTTTTCCCAAATGTCAGAGAGCTGGAATCGTACTCATGCAGCCTTTCTCGATGGCCTTCTTGCATGCAGTAACATGTGTCTCAGTTCCTCCATAGCTTTTATGGCTTGGTAACTCCCTTTATCACTGACCAGCGTTACATTTGGATGTATTAGAATTTATGCATCCACTACTGAAGGCCATCTTGGTTCCTTTCAAGCTTTGGCAATTACGAGTGAAGCAGCTAAGAGCTCAAGTTTTGGTTTTGGTTTGGCAGTATCGGGTTGAAGCAGGGTCTTGCAGTGCCGGGCAAGCGCTCTGCCCCTGAGCTCCACCCCAGCCCTTTGCTGCATATGTCTGGATGCTCTGTTGGTACTTTCATACACACCAGGAGTTGTGTATTCTTGGAGCGAGGACCCTATTCGTGGTCTATAAAGGCCTTATTTATTCTTGATAATTTTCCTTGCTTTGAATAAAGCTACTCCACCTTTCTTTTGGTATATTTCATCCTTTGTTTAAAACTATAGAAATCTCCCCAGGCATGGTGGTGCATGTCTGTAATCCCCGCACTCAGGAGGCTGATGTAGGCAAATTGCTGTGCGTTCAAGGCCAGCCTAGATGATATAAGTGAATTCAAGGCCCAATGCTAGATAGTGAGACCTTGTTTCAAAAACAAACAAAACAACCAGAGCAAAACACTATAAATTTTTACACTTAAAGGAAATTTCTTACAGGTAACATAGAGTTGGATATTTTTTACCCATCCTGACATTTTTCTTTTTTTTGTCTTTCTCGTTTTTTTTATCGGTACCAGGGATTGAACTCACAACCGCACACTTGCAAGGCAGGCGCTTATGCCTCTGAGCTAAATCCCCAATTTAAGCTACCAATAATTAAAATGATTATTGGTATGGTTAGACAATGTATTGTCCACATATCATTAATGCTTTCTATTTATTGCTCTTGTTTTGTATTTCTATTTTTGTCATACACAATTTCTATGCTATCTGTTTTTTAATGAGATTTATTGGTACATTTTAGATATGCATAATAATCCCTTTCATCGCAGTTTGTACCTGTCCATGATATAACTTGATTTTCCCCTTCCCCTACCCTCCCATCAACCCCGTCTCCCCTCCCCATTTACAGAAGTTTTCTTTCTTTTCTCACTTGTTTTACTTTCCCTTCTTTCCTGCTCCCTTTCCCCTGCTCCCTCCCCATCTGAACATTTCCTTCCTAGTTCACAATGCCTTTTGTACATTTTGGTCCTTACAGTTTCTGTTTCTCACATCAGAGTAACAATGTGGTATTTATACCTGTATGATGCATTTCACTGAAGAGAACGGACTCAGGGTGCATCCATTTTCCTAGAAATAGCCCAACCTTATCCTTCTTTATGGCAGAGTCGTTCTCCATTGTATAAAAGAGTCACATCTGCTTTGCCACTGACCGGTTCATGGGCACTTGGGTTGTTCCCGAGATCTGGCAATTCCAAACTGTGCTGCTGTATGGCGCTTGTTTTTACTGGATGTTCCGTTTTATTCTATCCCTGTCATACTTGCATTGTTTCCCGTTGCTCTTGGCACTGTTGGAGGTTTTTCTGGAAGTCCTTCTCATGGCCTTAGTTGCACTGACTTGGCTTCCTCTTTCAGAAGTGGAAACCCCGGGGCTAAAGCTTTACCTGGTCTCCCCAGATCATGCTGCCTCCAGCACCCACCTGGCAGGAGGAAAGCACTGCCCTACAGGCGGCCAGCATCTGAGCCTGCCCAGCCGCCCAGACTTGTCTGAACCCACTGTGCCTCGCTGAGCTCTGGACGGGCACCAAGTGGGTGCAAGAGTGTGTGTACTGAGCATTCCCAGAAGACAGAGCAAGGGTATTCTCATGGAAGGCGAGATCTGGTTGTGAAAATTATTGTGGAATCTGGGAGAAGAAAATGAGCATTTTTTTTCTTGTATATCTGCCCAAGGGGTTTGTAAGTTTATTTCTCAGAGCTGTTGAAACAGTACTGACATTATCTAAATTAACTAAGAGTCTGTGTGTCTTCTTTGGTCAGATGATCAGCTGGAAGTGGGAGGAGCAATAGCTTTTCTGCCTCAGACAGCCCATCAGTGTGACACAGGTGTCATGTCAGCCCAGAGGTGTGCGAATACGGACCACAGGAGCCTGTAACGTTTAAATGAGAATGGCTCTGTTTCTTTGCTATTTATCAGTGGGAGAATGTTTTTCCTAAATCCACTTTATTTCAATGATAAGAAAGAAAAAATCTACAACAGAATTTCAAAACACATCAATCGGGGCAACAATGGTACATACATTGCACATTGTCATCCCCAAATCACTCACCCAGAGCACAAGACATCTGCCTTCAGTTATCTGAACAATACCAGCACAAATCTTTCTCTTCAGTGAACTCAGAGAAATCAGTACTACAAGTATCTTAACTATTATTTTTTATACATGTCCATACAGACGTACATTTTTTTCTTTCAGCTTCTCACACTAATGAAACAATGTGATGTTCATACATGTTTCTTATTTATCTCACTAATGAATATGTTCTCAAGATGCAACCATTTACCTATAAAAGTCTCCAGTGTATCCTTCTTTATGGCTGAGTAGTACTCCTCTATATAAAAATAACACATCTTTTTTATTCATTCCTTAGTGGATGAGAATTTAGGTTGTTTCCAAGATCTGGCTACTATAAACTGTGTGTCTATAAAATGGGTGCACATACATCACTGTGGTATGATGTTTTTAATTCTTTTAGAAAGATACCCAGAAGGCGAATAGATGGGTCAATGGGACCTCTAGTACTAGCTTTTTGAGGAGTCTCCACACTGATTTCCACAGTAATTCTAGCAGTCTGCATTCCCACTGACAGTGGAGAAGGGTTCCCTTTCCCCATATCCCCTCGAGCATTTGTTTTGCTTGATTTCTTGATAATAACCATTCTTTAGGGTGAGGTGAAATCTCAGTGTTGTTTCCGTTTCTTCTCTGGAATGACCAGTGCTGATGAACATTGTTTCACAAAATTTGCTTAAGCTTGTCTATTTTTTTGTCTGTGCCTTCTCTGATGTCACTAGCATGGTATATATGTATGGCTATTTGAGAGATTATTTCTGATTTCATGTTTCCAGAGCTTCAGTCAATTGCTTTGTTGCTTCCACTTCAGAGAGACCTGGCGGGGGCTTTCAGATTGTCCCACCTCACTGCCCCCTGGATTTGCCTTTGCTTAAGTGTCTTCTCATTTTATTTTCTTTCTCTGTTCAGTTTAATTCCTGGGATGATGCTTGTAAGTCGCCTATGGTGGGTTGCTTTATTGGTGGTGTTTGGTACCTTAGGGGATGATGGCATCTCTGAGGGCTCTTCCAGGTGTAGCTGGTTTTTGGTTTTTGGTTGGGAGATCTCACCTCTTCAGTTGCCAGGATAAATAGGTGGAGAAGAAGAGGGGTGTTGGGAGGGATTGAGGTGTTAAGGAGGCATTGTGGGTTCTCCTACGAGTTGCTGTCTGAGCTGTTGGTTCTCCTGGAGAAGCTTTGGTCTTCACATCGAGCATTGCTTCCTGGCTCCGGAGGGGAAGACATGTGCTGCCTGGTCTCCAGGATGAACTCGTCACGCTGCTTCCTGGCACATTCCTGACTGTGCTTGTCGTCGGAGGAGCTCAGGGCCTCCGTGTCGCTAAGGACAGCTGTGGTTCCTTTCAGGACAGCCCCGTTCTTTGTTGTGAGTGTGACTTCTCAGCTCTAGTGTAGAACCCTCATCCCACTAGCACAGCTCCTTCATCCTGCTGGCATAGACTTTGTGGCTTCCACCGCTGACCCTTGGGTCTTCCCGGCACAAATCCGTAAAAGAGACTGGTGTGAGTCCTTGTGGGCCCTGGACTTCCAGTTGGACTCGTGGAGGCACTGTCCTGAGCTCTGGGTTTTTATCTGGACTCATGTGGGACATTGCTGTGGGGGTTAGGCTCTTGACTTAAATAATCTATGTCGTTGGTGTTGCGGGTAGATTTCCTGCATTCTCCTGTGTTAACTTCCGGTGACCATTATACAAATATTATAAACTCCATGTCCTGACCTGAGTTGTTCTCTGTGTACAACCCCTGACTACAACAACTACTGTCATTTTTTATTTGCTTGTTTATTCCTGTTTCTACCAGGGAAGACACCAAGACATGAGAAATGCTCCTGGGAAGCTAGAGGTCAGGGAAGAGAGTTACCCTCTGCCAGATACATATCTAAAGCCCACAAGAGAAGGATGTGGTTGAAAGTTTGGTTAGAGAAGAAGAGAAGGTAGTGGTTTTGGACATATACTGAGTAGTTATTCCCAAACTCTAGTCTGGTTGATAAGATTTAAACTCAGTGAAAACTAGGGATGTACATGTGATTTATTTGAAATTTAGTAACTTGGAACAAGACTGTTGACATACCAAGGATGGTCTCGAGGGAAGGAGAAGAA